GCTCCGGCAGCCGGCTCAGGGCGAGAGCGAGGAGGAGCCGCTCCGGCCCACAAACACCGCCCCTTCTCGCGAGGCCTGCGAGGAAGCGAGGCAAGGCCGCGCCTCCTCTCGTCTCCTTTCCCTTTCCTTTCCCTTCCCCTCAGAGGTTGACGGAAAAGGCGGCCTTTTTTTTTTCCCTCCTCGCCGCGTCTCCCTTGAGGCGCGAAAAGCTGTCCGAGGGCGTTTCGTTTCCCCCCGCACCCGCCTTTAGCTTCAGAAGGGAGAGCGGCCCTCAAGGCCGGCCCAACCGTCCCGCAAAGCGAGGCGGCAGTGGCGCGTGAAGGGGCAGATTTGGGATGCCAAGAAAAGCCCCCACCCCGTCGCCACCAACCGTTGTTACGCGGTGCTTCCCACTCATGGAGGCCCTATGAAGTAGTGAGCCTCCTTTCGTTCACCGCCTTGCAAAACTCAAGGAAGTGGCTTCCTTGATCATTCATTCCATCTCCCATTCGGTGTCTTCCTCTGTTCCTGCTGTCTTCAGCTTTTCTGGCCGTTATTGTATCTTTCAATGAGTCTTTGAGTTCTGTAGGCTATGCCCAAAGTATGGCAGCCTCAGATTTAGTTTTATTTTGCTGCTAGAGAGAGTTCATGTTTGATTTGATCCAGCGCCCACTTAACTGTATTTGTCTTTCTGCATGTTGCCTGTGAAGCTCTCCTCCAAAACCACATTTCAAGTAAAGCAATGTTTCCCCTGTTCGCTTCCTGCGGGGCAGATGTTGCTAGTAGTTTCCCAGAGAGACATCTGGATAGATGCAGGATACAAAGAGTCTGAGATGGATGGATCAAATGATCAGAGCCGCAGTCAGCTCCAGGTCTGTTTTGATGTAACTATGGCTTATCAGGAGACGATGTGTTTTTTCTTCCCCAGATAAATTAGCTGTGCAATATATTTGAACATGAAAAGACCTATGAGCATGTGAAGAGTGCCCTTTCCTTGGGTTTGTGCTATGTTCCATCAAGTCAGAAAATTTATGGCAACAGGGCTTTCAAGATAAGCAAGATATTTAAGGCGTGATTATACTAGATCCGCACACTCCCAGTGAGTTTCCATAGCAGAATGGGGATTCGAATCCACATCTCCTGATACGAGTCTGTCACTCTATCCACTGCACCACACTGGGTCCCCCAGCCCTTTCCCTTCCACTAAATTAATGCTGCTTGTACAAAAGAGGTAATTAAAGCGTACATGAGTAAGCTGTACATGTCTGTCCCCTGACAGAAATTCGCAGGGTTTACTTTGGAATACACATGGATAGGATTAAGCTGCATTGCTTGTAGCAGTACTAAATAAGGTTTTGAGTACAAAGGGGCATGAGGACAAATCTTGCCAAATCAATTTCAGTGCTTGAATAGATAGTGAAGCAGCTGGACCAAGAGCAACAAAAACATCTTGAGGTTTATACTGACAAGAACACCACTACAAATCAATACTCAGGTGTTCTTCACTAATTATTCTCATATGTGTTGATTTGCATATTTTTTAATTGTGAAGTCTTTACCTGAATGCCTTTTTAAATTTAGTCTTTATCTGAATGCCTTTTTAAATTTGCTTTCCCTCGCCCCCATATTCTTTAAAAGTACTCAAACAATATAGACAAGTAAAACTTGTACACATTCAAGCTGGACTGAGTGGCCATTCTGATGTAATCTTCTAGATACATGAGTCAAACAGAAGATACCCATTTCCTATTAATTCATCTAAACTTGTGTAAAATTAACACAGTCACATACTTTCACATAGCACAGCTCTGAGTTGCAATGGACTATAAGAAATAAGACTAGAAGACCTCATAATGTACCTTTCTTTTTATATGCCAAACAATTTTACAAATAGAAGTTGAGAAAAAAATACATTTTCTTCTTCTTGGATTCCAGCAAAGCCACCCCACATACAGGCAGCCCATTGGTTTGCATTATTCTGTCTAAAAATATATAGTTGAACTATGGCAGAGTTTTCCAACATAGCTTCAACAGTCAACTCCCATGGTACTCAGTAAGTTTCCCCTGCAGTTCTTCATGTTTAAAAAATTAATTTCTTTTTATTTTATGTGGCTGCAAAGAAGAAGTTGCCTGCCATCTTTATTTTCTCCCCAGAATATCTCTTGGTCCTTTGCTCAAGCAATTCATTAAATATTCACCATTATTTGCTGCTTTCATGTTGCTTCTTTTTGTGTCAAAATGGTAATGATGTATCTTTTATTAATGTTTCTTACTGTAATGCATTCTGAGAGTGGGGAATTGAGAGATATTTTTGTCTTTTTAATTTGTTTCTAAAAATTAAAGAGCACACTAGAAATATTTTACATGATATATTACATATTTAAAGAACTAGCAATATCTTCTGTATTTTTTAATTATTTCTAAAAATATAAAAGCATATTATAAATATTTTACATAATGCAGTACATTTTAAAGCAATTTCATATTTTCAGAGTAATTCTAATATTCTTGCTATAAAACAAATGGTCCAAATTTCTGTGTCCCAATTAGGCTCAAAGGCACACTTAGAAATGAAGATGGCAGGTGGCTTCAGGCCCTGCATTTCTGCCCTGGTCCGATATGGACAGTTTTACTGAAGAGAACCCAATGAGTTAATTCACATTTCTCTTGCCAGGTAGTTGCACCTTGTTATATTTCAGTGCCAGCTTTTGTGGATACATTAACTTCTTGAGCACACAGACTTGAGCCTCCTATAATTATTTTCTTTTTCTTTTTTAGTTCTTTTTAAAGATATTGACTAAGAGGAGACTGTGGACCACATATATGTGTTTCTCCATTATCTGCTCCCTGAAGCTCAGGCAGGGTGGTTAGTGACACAAGAATGTGGTCGTTTGCCCGCAGCTGCTCTGCAGATTTCCTTCCGCACCTACTTCTCTGTCTCCTTCACCAGCATGACAATGCAAAGCATAAGCCCACCATGGCTGACAACACAAGCTACATTTACAAAACCAAAAAATACAATTTAAAAAATCTGACATTCATTCTGCTGTAATGAAGACAATCAGATTCCACCCCAGGAACTAGAATATTTGAAATTAAAATGTAGTAAGGTAAAGGTAAAGGTTCCCCTTATCATCTTATCATTTTCAGTCCAGTCGTGTCCGACTCTAGGGGTCGGTGCTCATCCCGTTTTTCAAGCCGTAGAGCCAGCGCTTGTCCAAAGACAGTTTCCATTGTTGTGTGGCCAGCGTGACTAGGGAACGCCGTTTTACCTTCCCACCGAGGTGGTACCTATTTCTCTACTCGCATTTACATGCTTTCGAACTGCTAGGTTGGCGAGGAGCTGGGACAAAGCGACGGGAGCTCACTCCATCTCGTGGATTCGATCTTACGACTGCTGGTCTTCTGACCTTGCAGCACAGGCTTCTGCAGTGCCACCACGTCATATCAGAGTGTTGCACAATTTAAAATTATGGATATAAATGAAATAGAGGTAAAATTAAAAACAAAATAGCAAGATAATAGACTATTTTTGACCAGAAGTGGACTATTTCTATAGTGTTATCTAGGCCATTTGTGAAATCTTTTGTACATGTGGGGCATAAATTGCCTGCATGTAAGTTTTCCACGAATATCTTTAGATCAAACTATTGCTAGAAACACAGGGATGAGGACAAGGGGGGGGGAAGCCATGAATACTGTGCTTCCTGATATGTTTGCATGGAACAAATAGCAAGTATATTCACCCATCAGCTATCCTCTGTGTTAGGTTGGGAGTGTGACTCTGGGGCTACAGAAGACAATACAGAAGCCGCTCAGAGTGGTCGAATAGACCAGATGGGCAGGATATAAATCAAATAAATAAATAAATATGTTACATTGGTGGTGGGGAGAGATTGTTGATCTTGAGTCCTCCTCTGTCGGATTACAGATTTGTTATCAATAGTGTTGAACCACTTTTGATGACTTTTGAAAGTTCTTTGAAAACTTATACTAAATACACCCCACAATGAGATGTTATGGTTAGGGAAGATCTCATGGAATGTGCTACTAATTGTGTTGTTTCAATTGTATACTTTTAAAAACAAAACAGCTACAGCAAATCTCTCTGACCTCCTGTACCATTTCACCCTTAAACTCTTTGCACTGGATGAGAATCTAATACAGGTATTCGCATTTGTATCAGCATTGCTCCCGACACTTTGAGGGATTTTGCACCAATAAAACAGGGAAAACCTTTGTGTATCTCCAGATCCAACAAAAATTAGTTCTAGTTCCTTCTAGTCTCTCCTCCCAATGGCTTCTAGTTACGAACCTCAACTGATAAGCCATCATCATTCTGTAATCAATGGTTGGTAACACATTAATTCAATGAATAAAATATTGTCACAAGGTCATCTTAAAAGTCCTGCAGGTCACCTTTTTAGAGTATTTTATTTGTCCAATAAATATACTAAACCCCACCTCAAACCCTGTCCTGATTTAGTTTTTGCACACAGACCATTGGGCTGCATTTTTATTATTATTATTATTTTGCATCCTCCTCTGGATTATTCACAGGCCTTCCTTTCTTGATGTCTGAAGCACCAGAGTACAGTTAATAAATATATCACCCAATAACAGGCAACATCAAGAGCATTTGGTGCAGGTACCATTAAGTGTTTCATAGTACATGTTGAAGAGCAAAGAGTACCCTGACATAGGTGTAAAGTTGCTGGACACGGAAGGAGAACCAAAAGACATCTGGATGTGAGGGTTCGCCTTTAGGCTCCTCTTTCGGTTCAAAGAAATCAGTAGATGTTTGTTGCTTCAAAACAGGTGAAAGATTTA